ATCTTATCAAATGAATTACATTAAGGAGTCACCAAAAAAAAAAAAAAAACATTCACACAACGATAATCGTTGAATTACATTAAGGAGTCACCAAGATTGGATGTCCCTCTATTTGAGCCAAAATAGGAATCTGAGTTCACCAAAATACAAATCTGGACATTTGAGCCAACTTGATATTCTATTCTCATTCACAATAACCACATTCACACACAATCATTTTCCTACCATATCAACCTAGTTCACCACAATTGGATGCCCCTCTCTATGCATTGCGTCTCTGCAATTATATCGGAATTGAGTTTTGTTAACTTGTAATCCAGCCTCTCCATCATTGTCTCCAATGCACTTTTTCCATTTATCGCTGTTGTTCCTGAACTTAAAAAACATGAATACAATTTTTTTTTTGGGGGGGGGAGAGAGAGAGAGAGAGAGAGAGAAGTTGATATCAGTAATCATAAATAATAGAAAATGCATCTAACCGTTGATAGCAATTCCAAAATCTAACAATCTGCCAAGACTGGTACTAAATTTGGAACCAATATTAGCAATGTCAACATGCAACAACTTTAATGGCATCTCCATTAGAGCATTGTGCACTTCATAATTGAATGCATATATATTATCATCATGTGTACTTTTAATAGCTTTAGTTTTTCTTTTTACTTCAGTTGTCAAGCATGTCATCTTTGCTAATATATAAAAGTAGAACACTAATTTTGTGTATATTTTTCATTTCCCTAAACTATCCAAAGAAAATTAAATTATGCATTATTAAAATCCTTTAACTTCTATATTCATTTGAGGGTAAGTGTCAAGTACCACATTATTCTAAGAACTCCCCAACAACTGCCTAGAACCCAGTTAGTTTTAAAAAATTCTCTTTCCTAATTAAGAGGCTACTTAGTAACCTCTTTCTCTCTCTCTATGCACTATTGTTAAAATTGGCTGACTTAGTGGTTCTTTGTGGCACTTGCACTCATGTAAATGAGTGCCACCCCACTAGTTTCTGTAAGTATTTCTATGCATTTGATGGGGGTCAAATCCTTTTGATGTTATAGGAGTGGCAGCATATCAAGAGGTTTTAGAGGAGAGTTCAGGCATTGGCAAATTATGCTGATGTAGTAAGAGACAAGCAGTTGCAAAAGTAAGAGAGGGAGTGGGGGTGGTTTGAGACAAGCTGTCAATTTGTCATGATAAGATTCCTTCGTAATTGAACAAAACAATGAACACATCGCACAATGGCACAGGAGATCAATCACCAAAAATAATATAAAATCATATTTAATGATTAATCATTGTAAACTGAGGCCAACAATAAAATTCTCTGTAATTGATCAACAAATAAACAAATAAACTGTGATAGTCATGTCCATTGATTTCAATTGAAGTATACTATATAAATACTACTAAAAAGTCAAAAAACTTATACGTACCAGTTGAAACTTGAGCCATGTGATGTATTACCGCTACAATGATGTGGTAGGAAGACTGCCTGATGGATGCCATGATAACAATAAGGGACTTAGGCACAATTGAAAGTACAATAGGCATCATGAAGTAACTAGTTAGTCTCTATCAATTCATCCTAATTGAAACTATTTATAATACTTTTGTTTTCTCTACTGGTACTCCTGACATTTACCTTGATGAAATTCCGACTACAGATTCTGCTTATATGCTAGTTCCAATAGTAAACCCCACAATAATCAACAAAATCCTAAAGAACTCTATCCCACTCTTCCCCCTTTTTTCCTCCCCGACCAGACCATCTTATCATTAGTATCAACCAAATCCTCACCCTCCCTTCGCTCTGCATTCCCCTCGGATCTGCACTCCCTCTCTTCCTTTGTGTCATTTTAAATGCTAAATCCAATTGGAATGATGTCAGCTTGTGTCAACTTTCATATGAACTGCAGGCAAATAAAAATCATTAAAATGGGTCCAGCTAAATGTGACTGGAGGAAGCAGGAGGCATATCTATTACATAAGGACTGATCTCTGAACTGCCATTTATCATGAAATTGTGTGTTATTTCTCATGGTATAAGTTTCCTTGAACTTACAATACATCATCTATACTATTTATATTATTATATAATAATAATTGTGACACATATTTTAAGGTCTGCACGCTACCCCTTTGTCCAGAAAAACCATGCCATATGTCTGTGCTTTTCATCATAAAAGGGATAAACATGTAAATATCAAGTTGCCACCGAAGTTCAGAGAAAAATCATGACAGTTTCAACTGCCTACCCTCAACCATATCTCTATTTAAACAGAAATAAAATCTATTATGAATTTTACAACAAAAAAAAAAGAGGACCAAAATGAATTGCTACGCATTGCATGGGCCCAAATGCTAATATATATATATATGTATACAAGTACATATTTCTTTAAAACAAGGTATACTAATTAGGCATTTACATATTTAACATGATATGTAACACACAAGTGCAGAATTCAATTAAAGAGAAAGATGATGATGAATGAAAGTGAGAAAATGGGTTGACCATGGGTTTAACATATGGCTAGTTAGTATGCAAGAAAGCTCATGCCCATAGGTGAAAATTATTTTTCTCCAACCACAGAGACATGAGAGCAAGGAAGGTACCCTGAATAAAACAGAAAAGGAATAGATGTAAAATGAAACTGAACTTACCATTAAATTTCACATTTGGCTGGACAAACTCTGGCCAGGTCATAGCAAATTGGATCAGTTAATAATACACATATTAACTGAACCTAGATCTGGCTTAGACCAAAAAAATTAGGTTCTTTTCTCAGTATCTCAGCTTCTCTAGCTATCTGGATATCTGAAGGCCAAAAATTTTAATGTATAACTTTCCAAATAAAGCGAGGGAGTAATGCTAAGACTATTATAACCAAGACGGAAAGCCAATATGCAGGTGACTTTGCCAGATGGTATATTGTCCTGATGAAGACAAAAAAACATATTAGCTCCACATTGTGAAATGGACAAAATATGCAGTGTCCTATTTGAATCAAAACACTAACCCGTAATTGGGAAGATGGTATAGAATCCAATACCACCACACAGGCATAAGTAATGATTATTGATCCCAAACTGAAGAATGAGTAAGTAGCACCACCGCTTAATGTCCATTGCCAAGTGCATATTAACTAGGATAACAACTGCAATCGTCCACAAATTCCCATGCTCCCATATGTCAATAGTGCTCTCCCTATAGGTGAATAAAAGTACATAGAAGAGAACAAGGCTCTGCCTAAGTGTGTTCAATCATTGTGATCCAGAAGAGTACATATTGTAACTCTCCTGTCTATGGCCTGCACCATAGAGTTTTGGAAGCTAAAGTAGTGTCTTACCACTCAAGTCCTTGTATAATGTATCTGTGTAGCCAGTCAATATTCCCACACATATAATCAACGACGATCCTTGACCTGAAGCACACATTACATAGTCAGAAAACATGAAAAACGATGCACCTCATTATAGGTGCTTTTTATAAACAGTATTAATAAAAATATTCTCACTT